TAAGACCAGTTCCCGGCACCTTAATTCACGTTTGTTAATGTTAAAACAATTCGCCAGTAAGCGCCGCAACCTCAATCTTCCCGTATTGGTCGATGAGACATTGAGCACGCTTCACATATTCCTTTTTCACTTCCTCATTCCACCAATTTCGAGGTTCGCCGAAGGCGTCATGGAAACGTCCTATAAGAAAACTAAGGGATTTATGATTGAAAACTGAGCGCACGATAATCAATAGCCACTAAACTGATCACCTTCATTATCAAAGCCGTGTGTCATTTCGTGACCGACGACTGCTCCAATACCCCCATAGTTCAAGGCTCTAAAAGTAAAGCATCTGCTTACGTAGAAGCTACACGTCATACAAAGTGAGCCCTAATAAAGTTCATCTAGAAGCTTTAAGCTCTTTCATCGACGTATGCATATCATATACATTTAAATGATTTATATTGTATAACTGATTTTTATTAATACTTCTTTCAGCCATTTCCGCGCCCGGCTTTCACGGTGCATAAGACGTATGCAACGTCAACTTTTGTTCTGTTCTGAATGAGCAAAAACCTGTTGTAGTAAGGAAATGCACCACGTGTTTAAAAATCAAATACGTTTGAGATTGATTTCTCTTTTCAATCTTCTAGGAAAACACCGTGGCCCTTTTCATTGCAGATTGTAATGACTTCAAAGACATAATCATTATACTTATCATTCTATTCAAGAAGCAAGTTCGCTGTGACTAGCGACCAAAAGCAGACATTTTGCGTGTGAGTTTACCGTATTCTCTACAACAAATTGCTGTCAAGATCATTTTATTATAGTTGATCGATGGAATTGCATTATTTCTCAGCATTAGTTTATACGCATCTCATCTACTCAAATACTTAATGTGTGTGCGAATATAATATCTCCAGTTGTACAAACATACTGATAACTTGTTTTATCTCAGTATTTCGCCAAAAACTTGCTCAAAGAATCTTTGAGCACTTCTGCATTCGGTTTTCAATTTGATGAGATGTTCTCGTGGTAGAAAGTGCAAGTTGTTCTAGCCGAAAACTAGCCTTGGAAATGTCTCATGAAAAAAGGGGGGTCGAAGGATGCCGGCAGTAATTTCTGAAAACATAGTTTTTTTTTAGCTAGAAGCAGCTTTGAGATATAGAGGAACGAAACATGAGAGATGCAGTAAACTTACGTAGCGAGTTGGTCCAAGGATGATATGTTGCACTGACATCGGCTGGGTTAAAGACTACGAAGCGATCTGGAACGCTTGTTAGTCGTTCGAAAAAGTGCTCAATATCCCATCGAGTCAACTTCTCCACCATTTCGCTGAACGAATAGGTGTCACGCACATCCAACTAAATTAACATGTACGAATTCATGAATATCCATGTAGGTGTTTACTTACATCGCGGTAATGCTTGTCGAGCATTCCTATGTCTAGAA